TCAAGTTCCTTATGTGTGGGTATGGCTGCCTCCGTGTCCTCCACAGAGCTTTTCAGACCACCGTGGCTCTTCAATGAACAGGCCTTTCTAATAGACATTTTTTTTAAAAAAATGTATACACAGGCATTCATATATATTCATTCCCAGGATACTGTCCTGGAATCCAGGCAAAACAAGTTGGAGTCCAGTGATTTATATGAATGTTTTCCCAAGCTGCTTTTAGTTTGTTCTAGAGGTTAGTAGTTGAGTTTTTCTTTTCTTGGTTTTCTGCCACTGGTAGTCAAATATTTTGTCGTTGGTTGACATGTGCTCTCCAGGGTCAGTCTTGAAGCATGGTGGACAAAGGATGGGCATTTCTAGTGCAAATGAATTACTATTCTTCACCAATGAGCCCCTCTTGCATTAACTATACAATTTGCAACAGCAACACACAGTGTAAAGTGAAAATGTGGAGCCTTTTGTTCAAAGGAAAAAAAAAGAAAAAAGTGCTACTGAAGGTATTAAAATTATTTTTTCAGGCTGGAGAGATGGCTCAGTGGTTAAGAGCACTGGCTGCTCTTGTAGAAGCCCTGGGTTTGAATCCCAGCACTCACACGGTGGCTAACAACCATCCATAACTCCAGTTCCAGGGGATCTGACATTGTCTTCTGACCTCCATGGGCTTTTCATGACACGAGTGTACTTACATACATGCATGCACAACACTCATACACGTAAAATAAACATAAATAAATAAAAAATTTCTTCTGTTTCTCCTTAGATTTGTTATTTATTCATATTATTTGAAATTAGGATATTTATTATTTATTTATTTATTTGGTGCTGAGGATTGGACCCAAGGCCTTCTTATGTGTTCATGTCAAGCACCAGGCAAGAATTTTCATTTTCATTTTATTTTATTTTTCAATTAAAATTTTCATTTTTGAGAATTTCATATATGAGTACTATATTTACATTATTTCTACCCCTCCATTTCACCCCCAACCCCTCCTACATTCCCCCACTCCCCTTCAATATCCTGATTTCTTTATTATTGTTACACACACAGAGACACAGACACAGACACACACACACACACACACACACACACACACACATATATATAACTTACTGAGTATACATATATGTACAGATAACTTACATATACACATAACTTACTGAGTCAATTTAGTGGTGCTGATATGTACATGTGTTTAGGGCTGACCATTATTTATTTATTTTTGAGATAAGATTTCACCCTCTAGCCCAGGTGGGCCTGAAACTCATTATGCAGCCTCATAGTTGGCTTCAAACTTATGATCCTCCTGCCTCAGTTTCCCAAGTGCTAATGTTACAGATGTGATCCAGCTAGCTTATTTATTTTTTGGATACAAAGTCTTGCTATATGAACCAGGCTGTCCTCCGACTCACAGTCTTCCTTCCTGAGGGCTGAGATTGCAGGTTTGTGTGTCACCACACCCAGCTCTACCATGGAGTTTTAAAAGTGCATTGATGTTGCTCCTCCAAAGGCATGTGCACACTCACAGGGAGAGGGAAGACCTCATGATGACTCTGCAACTCTATGTGCCCCCTACTGCCAGGTTCCTCTTCCTGCCCTCACACTGGCAGAAAGTGAGGAAGACCCTTGAAATAGTTGGTAGAAGGCAATGTTCAGAGGCTTAAAGGATGCTGTGCCTCATAAGAAATGATATAACCAACGTCAAATAAATGTGACTGGGAACTGTGGAGCCAGGCAGGTTGTGACAGACAGGGTTCTCCGCAGCGAAACAAAACCAGGACATGAAGGGAACCAGATTTTTGTGAAGCATTTGATGGGACAGAGCAAATTAGAACATAGGCACAGTGTCCACACCTGGGTATTGAAGCTCTGTTTAGAAACTAGCAGCTCCTTGTGTACGTAGTGTATGCAGGAGCTCTACTGTAAAATAACGTCAGTGTATACTGCTCTGAGAGCTAGCCAGATGCTCCTCTCCACATCTGCCGCACACAGGAGAAAGCAATGTTATTTACAGCTGAGATAACAGGAGCAAAAAGAGGTACAGTCATTTTCTAACTCAGGTATGCTTGGCTTTGACGATTAAGGTCTTGATGACTGCGGTATCGCCCAGTGTGTCTTGACGTAGCACAGTGCTTGGCATGTGGTAAGAAATTGTTAAGCAATTTTTTTGTGTGTGAATAAATGAACAGACTTAGAGGGTTTAGCAGAAACCAACAGAATGTGTGAAATCAATTTAGTGAATCAGTTTTACATTACGACAGGGTTAGGGGAGGATGTGTCATGTCACCCAACAGGTTTTGGGTGTGACACAACTGTTTCAGAAAAGCTCAGGCTTAAGTTCTATAACTAACTTTCTTTGTAACTTTGAGTTCATACCTTATCCTGTTTCTTTTACTACAAGCTGAGGGTTTGGTCTGAATCAGGGACCAGAAAACATTTTCTGTAAAGAAGTAAAGAGTATTTTATGTTCAGGTCTCTGTTGCAGTTACTTCATGCTGTCAGTACAGTGGAAAAATAGCCATAGTCGATTTACAAATAGATAAGTTTGTGGCTATGTTCCAATAAAGCCTCATTTATAAAGATAGCTGGATTTGGATCAGGGACTGTAATTGCTGATCGTTGATTTGGGTAACTTCTGAGACTCCCTTCAACCTTAACATTCTATGATTTAAAGATTTAGAATCAATTGTGCTGAGAATAGAAACCATCATGTATCATTATCTTTCATGAATTACCCATGAAAAATATTGGTGACTGATCACAGGGTTCTTTCTGATGAAAAAAGAGTTGGTTTTAATCATTCATTCAGTCATTAATCTCATATAGAAAGATTCTCATTTTGACTCTTTAAAGAAACAAATATTAGCTGGGCATGGTGGCACATGCCTTTAATCCCAGCACTTGGGAGGCAGAGGCAGGCAGATCTCTGTGAGTTGAAGGCCAGCCTGGTCTACTACTGAGTTCCAGGACAGCTGGGACTACAGGGAGACCCTGTCTCAAAAAGACAAAAAAAAAAAAAGAAACAAACAAATATTTAGAAAACTCTAGAAGCTCTCTTGGCACCAAGGATGATAGGATGAAACAAAGAATGGGAAGTACAGGAGCTATGTGGGAGGAACCTAAGGAGAGTGAAACCCTAAGCTGCCAGAGATATTGCCCATGGGTGGAAACCAAACCTGTTCTCCTCTTACTTTTTCATACCGTGTACCCTTGATAGGACCCTTGAGTATATATGGCTGATTGTAGTTATCCAGGGTGTATTAATTTCCCCTTTTTCTTTGCCACCAAAATGTAAACCACTACATGATTTCTATATGAGAGGGTCTGCTGCCAGCTGGCTGCCCTATTGGAGAATACTTAACACAGAACTTCACATTGACGAGCGCTTGACCACGCGTGGCCTTTTCATGTCTGTTTGCACTCCCACAACTTCTTTGAGGAATGAATGGGAGAATTCCAAGTATCAAGAGGTCACATCATGCTGGGGCCAAGCTAGAGGAGTTTGGGCTGAATTCTAGAGAGAATTCCTTATTCTGTTTATCATTATTAGCATTGATTTTTAGTTTTATTATATATTTTTATTGAATTTTTGTGATTTTCATTCAATATGTTTAATGTTCATATATATATAAAATGACCTGTAGGGTCTTATTTGTATTCCCAAACGTCCTTCAGGGTGCCTATTGACTGGGCCCATCAAGTTCCATCTCTGTAAGATACTGTCTTTCCTCCTCCCAGCAGCCATCAATTGCCAAAACTTCCTTAGGCTGGGTTGGGATTTCTTACTCACCTCCCCATGTCTATCCTGGGATTTTGTCTTCTTTGAGCTTGCATAACACTTATGCATGCGGTCACCATTGCTGTGATTTCTATCAGTAAATGACCAGCTTTCTTGAAGACTCTTGTTTCCTTGTGGTCATCCACCCACTCTGGCTCTTGCAATCTTTCTGCCTCCTCTTCCACAATGATCCCTGAGCCTTGGGAGGCAGAGGTTTGAAATAGGTGTCCTATTCAGGGATAAGCACTCTGTGGCCTCTTGTTTTCTACACATTGGCCAGTCGTGGGTTTCAAAAACAAGATGATTACATTGAAAAACTCTGGATAGGTTGGAGAGTTTGGGAGGGGAATGAATGCCAACTGACATTACAGCAGCAGTGAGAAATTTCAAAGTATTGTTGAAGTTTTGTGGTGCATTTTTTGTCAGTAAATAATACTAAAAAATTACAGTAGGCAGACAGAATTGTGAATTTTACATTCTAAAATACAATTACATATTTCAATTGAAGAGTTGTATCAGTTTAGTTATTAAAGTACTTAAAATTTTTTTTAACTTTCTAGGCTATGATTTTTATCTCCAGAAATTCAATTTCTAGTTTTAGGTTTTCTTAATAATCAGAAGCAACTTCTACACCAGGGAGTGCACAGAATGTTCCAAATGTATGTCAGCCATAAGCTTTTGCTGTCATCTGAGATCCATAGAGGAATTCAGGGTAGGAAGAATTCCTCTTTACATCTCGAATTATATCACGGCTCAGTGCTGAATACAGTGAGGGGTGAGAGGCTTCGCCCCTTTGCCTTTGATTCACTTCAATTATCTTCAGTAGTAAGGGATACGATTCATTCATTATTCTTGGATAATTTAAAACCTTTAATCTCAGGACCCTCTGAGAAGAGCTGACTGCTGGCATCACCCCACCATGCCTAGGGAATGGAGCTCCAATGACATTTGCTGATGGCAGAACTGTTCCTTATGAATCATTTGTCTAGGGATTGCTTTCCACATTTCAATCATGGACTAGACACTGGCCAAATAGCGGTGCAGATAATTTGGGGAAATAAACATTGGTTGAGTGATGCATCATTTGCAGTTGAAGAAGGAACTTGCATTGAGCAATCAGCAGAATTTCATAATCTCAGACAGTTCAGGGACATGAGAACTAGAGGTGTATTGTAATCTCAGCTGAGAGCCCACATCGGATGCTTCAGCTTCAGGTCCTGGTGGCACTTTTGTGACCAACCCTTTCTGCACTTCTCTACCTGTAAGGACAATAGGCTTGAGACCACAATGTTCAGGGCTCAGACGGTCTTCTATAATGGCCCTCTGGAGACAACTTCCAAACTAACCTCTCTCTCTCTCTCTCTCTCTCTCTCTCTCTCTCTCTCTCTCCCTTCTATCTTAATCTCTGGTACTTACTTTGCTGCTGACCACATAGTCCTGCTTGGAACTTCAAGGCCACCACCTATCTCCCTGCTATCAAGACCTCTGTTCTTTAGCCAAGCTTCCTGCCTACGCAATAGCAGCTGGGAGGGACTAAACCCATTCTACTCGGGCCACACCTACTGGTAAAGATATAAATAATGATGCTTGGTATTTGGTCATCAGAGCCACTCTGCCTTCACCATGAAGTCCAGCAGCCTCTTCTCCCTCGTGGTTCTCCTTGCTCTGGCAACTCTGGCACCCTGGGTTGTGGAAGGTTTTAGAAACGGTGAGTTGGAGCCACTGTGGTTCAGTCCTGACTGGAGTGTCAGAGGCGGTAGCTCCTGATGGTTTTGGGTATGTTCCTTTCAATAGGCTCTGTCTCCCAGCTTAGTTGGAGACCTCCTTGAGGGGTACAGGTCTAGTTGGGGTCTGAGGTCTCTATGAAACTTCAGAGACGTAGAAGATGTAGGAACGTTTTCTTTATTACTCAGCCATCCTGTCAACCTGGGTCTTGCCCCATCTCTGTTCCTGTTTTTAGTCTCTGTGTTTCTGTCTCTGGCTTTAGTTCTTAGCATCTCTCATGCTGGTTCCATTACTATGTTTGTTTCTCTTCCTCTCCATTACTCCCAGCCTTCCTTCTGCCTTTGTGTATCTGAGATGGAAGATCTTGGCTGAGAGCTCTGCCTTTTTCCTTGGTCTGTGACTTCTGATTATGTGTGTTGTCTGATCAAGCTTGCTGCGTTTCTTCTAAGGATCAGACAGGCATGTCTCTTTGAGTTGTTTGTGGACCACTGCGATGAGGATCTCCCCTCTGGAAAATGGTGCTCTGTCCAAGAATCATGGTGGATATTCAGTACTCTCCTAACCTCTTGATCTTCTCTACAGATGCTTTCAAAGCTGGAGCGTGCCCTTCTAGAAAACCTGCCCAGTGCCTTAGATATGAGAAACCAGAGTGCAAGGATGATTGGCAATGTCCAGGGAAGAAGAGGTGTTGTCAAGGTTATTGTGGCATCAAATGCCTCGATCCTGTTGCTGTCTCGAAACCAGGTGAGCCAGTAGAGGAAGGAATGAACCTCGAGACTCAGCATTAAGGGGACTGAGTGAAGGGGTCCTTCCAGATCTCCTTGTTTCTAAGAGCTGTTGAGCTCAATGTGTCAGTCAGCCAAGGCGTCATGCTACCCTAGACAAGAAGTTGTCCATCCGCCTGAGGCAGCCAGCCTGTAAGGAGGGCAGTCTTCTGGGTAATCATCTGGGCATTCAGATAGCTGAGCAACTGGAAACTATCCACCTCTTCAGCACTGCACAGCTGGTCACCTGCATTGACTGGGGACCAGATGTTAGAGAGGAGACAGGGTATGCCTCCAAGACGAGGTGGTGATGGTGAGGGGTTGAGGGGAGATGATTCTCCTTGCTCATGCTGGAGAGGAGGCTGGGTCTAAGAAGCAGGGATGTGGTACCTATAGTTCAAGGACTCTGACCTATGGCTTTGCCATCACCAGTGCTGAAGAAACCTGGGAAGTGCCCTAAGATTGATGCTGAATGTTTGATGCTCAACCCCCCTAATAACTGTCAGAGGGACAGCCAGTGTGATCGGAACTACAAGTGCTGCAAGGGCATTTGTGGCAAAGTCTGCATGCCCCCGGTGTAAGGTAAGGAGGGGCTGGGGAGGATGGCTCTTCTTCCCTCTGGCTTCTCATCTCTGAGGCTCTGGAAGTCAAGGCTTGTGGGCAGGGAGACTCTACCCTAAGCAGAGCCTGACTTGTCCTTCAAGGACACTGTTCTCTATGTCTCAGGACAAAGAAGTTCAGTGACTTTGATTCTATTGCAGCCTGTCTGGGTAGGGGCCCTGTGTGAATGACTCTTTGAATCTCTTTATCTATAGAATGGAATACCAAAATCAAGTGTTTTGTAAAGCATCGTGTGCATTATTTGTTATTCAAGTAATTTACTTCATGGTGTCAAGAGTCAAAGCACAAAGGACAGGGAGAATTTGAGGCTTATCTAGTTCAATGGTCTGAGTTTTGAGCTTTATGGTGAAAACAAGAATTCAACTAGGTCTCCTGATTTGCAAACCCTTTTAACCTCAACACCACTTTGCTCTTTCCTGTCTTGTGGCTTCCTTATAGAGAACACGATGGAAGTGATTTGGTTGGTTCTTATTCTGAAGCTCTTATCCCATTTTCTCTCATAGCCTGATTCCTGTCATTTGAAGATGGCTCTGGGTTCGTGCTCTGTGTGGTCTGGAAACTACTTCCCTGCTCTCACGCTTGGATCCTGTGGCGAATGCTCGCTTTTACCACCAACCCTTCCTTTTGGCACATGCTCAGCACGCTTGAGGCTTTTAGGAAATATTGTTGGAGAGTAAATAAATAAAAAAGCTTATTTCTTTATGTGTACCTTGGCTCTGTGATTCACTGAGGGCATGGGTGTGGCAAGATGCAATGAGGGGAGGCTTGGATATGAGACATCTTTCTTAGACATGTGGAGGAGAACGAAGAAAATCCCAGGCCTGGGCAGTCTTGAATGTATAGCATGAATCTAATGGCATGGGCTCTATGATATTTGGACAAAGGACTTTACCTCCTAATGGAATGTCTTTATGTGCAGAGTGGCCACAGAAATGGCTCTCACAGTGGAGAGAGCATCAGGAGGCACAACGTGAGCATAACAAACAGCAATGCCATAGCCAGATCATCTTCCTTACACACTGTCCACTGGCATGATTTGAAGCTCTCATTTCTTCTCCTTTCCAAGACATCATTTCTTCTGTCTTAAAATAAGAACATTGTCATGTGCCCAGGGTCATGTTTATGACATGCTGTTGGACAGTTACAGCACCAGGGTAGTGTTGACTTGCTGGAGCAGGACTAAAAAGAGCTGAGCTTCTGGAGCCAGGGGGCTGGCTCCCTCTCATTGAACTCAGAGCTCACTGCTTCAGACTGGCTGACCCAGGAGTCCTTGGGATCTGCCTGTCACCCATGCCATCCTAGGATTGAGGACACAGGAGTGTGTGACTTTACCTTCTCTCTCTCTCTCTCTCTCTCTCTCTCTCTCTGTGTGTGTGTGTGTGTGTGTGTGTGTGTGTGTGTGTGTCCGGCCACTGAGCTCTCAGGATCTGCCTGTCTCCATCCTCCATTACTGAGGCTACAGGCTTATGTACCCATGCTCAGTTTTTTCCTCACATACTGAGGATTCAAACTCAGATCCTCCTGCCTCCTGCTTGCGCAGCAAACACTTTATTCATTGAGTTATTTCCCCAGCACCCCCTGAAACGTTTATAGTTTAACTAAACATAGACTATAGAAAAAAGATAGTTATGAGCCAATGTCTACTCTGAAGGTAATTGTGATGATTCTAAGCAAAATGTTGAAAATAGAATTCACTGGAAATTAAAAAAAATATTTTTATTGATTCTTTGAGAATTTTTATCACATTCAGACTGCCCTTCCCCATCTTCATTCCCACCTTATTATCCCTTTCTGACTTCATGTCTATTTAAAGGGCTATTGAATCTAATTTGTGTTCTCCCAATGCTCTTGGGTGTGAGTCTGTCCCTCAGGGCCTGGCCAACCTACCCAGCATTACATCTTTAAAGAAAACTGACCCTCCCTCTCCCAGCAGCTATCAATTGCCAAACGTCTTCAGTTAGGGCTGAAGTTGCCCACCTCCCCCATAAATGCGGTGATTTTGTCTGGCTTGAGCTTGACCAGGTCTTATGTATGATGTCATAAGCACCATGGGTTCATATGTGCAACTGCCCTGTTGTGTCTGGAAAACATGGTTTCCTTGTGTGCATCTACCTCTGGCTCTTATAATCTTCCACAATGATCCCTGAGCCTTGGGAAGAGAGGGTGTGATACGGGTGTCCCATTTAGGGCTGAGCAATCCAGTCTCTTATTCTCTTCACATTAATCATTCATTCTGTGAGTTTGCTACCTGCTCTAAGAAGAAGCTTCTCTGGAGAGAGATGGAGAAGTACATTAGTCTATGGGTATAACAATAAGTCATCAGGAGTTGATTTAATACTATAACTATTTAGTAGAAAGCTGGTATTGGGCTCTTCTCTATGGCCTGTGACCTGACTAGCCACAGGCTCTTGGCCCTGATTACAGTACCAGGTATGGCCTTTGTCTTGTGAAGTGGGCCTTAAATCCAGTCATTAAGTGGTTAGGTACTGCTATAACATTTGTGCCTCTATCGTATTAGTGAGCATATCTTGTCAAATAGAAAGCTGGTATTGGGCTCTTCTCTATGGCCTGTGACCTGACTAGCCACAGGCTCTTGGCCCTGATTACAGTACCAGGTACGGCCTTTGTCTTGTGAAGTGGGCCTTAAATCCAATCAGAAAGTGGTTAGGTACTGCTATAACATTTGTGCCTCTATCGTATTGGTGAGCATATCTTGTCAAGCCAGTCATTATTGTAGCTCACAGGGTTCACAGATGGGTAAGGTCAATGATTTCTCTTCTGGTAGCCTGATAGCACCTTTCAGCACCATGAAAGCTTGCTAGTAGAGATGAAGCTTTGAGGTCATACCAGCTTGATATTTCCTTGTTTGTTCTATGACTCACGTGTGTAAAGTCTTAAGGAATAGAATCTTTAGTCAAGTTCTGGAGGGTACTCAAGAGTAATGACAATAGCCAGTATTATTTAGGAGTCAATG